TGGACTGGGGGACCATTGGTGACAATGCGGTGTACGGTTGTTTCACTATCGACATTTGGTGCAGCATCACGTAGTGTGATCTCTATGTAATCCTTCAACAGGTTAGCTTAGAATGCGTCTGACTTGCTTTTGGACAAATTCGACGTAGGGTGCACAATTGTCGCGATGCTGTCAATTTGTATAAATTTATACCAAACTCGGTGCACTTAATTATCTTGGCATGGAAAAGCAATACGTTTAAAATACGAAAACTCCGATGTTTCAGTAATTGTGTACCCTAATTTACTCCAAGTTAATACTTACAACATTCATTTAACGATAAAATGTGTTATATTACTGTAATTATTACAAAAATGTAGTTTTATTACATTTCCTTACTTTTACTGTGATACATATTTGAATTATCTAATTCCCTAAATTAAAGTGGAATCTGATTTTTTAAACCGGTGGCCACCCTGGGAGGTTGCTAAAAATAAAGCGTTTTCAAAACTATTTCCGATGCCCATATTGCAGCAATGCATTTAACTTAATAGAACTAAATTTTTTAATAGGTGGCAACTCTGTTAATCTTCCAACCTAGATACGAACACGTAAGTATGCGTGCTCCTACAATCGGACCACGGCAACATGGAGTCTATCGATGTCAAATGTTAAGTGACTTTATTTTCTTTGTTTTGGTTGAATAATGGGACGTCCTCCCCTTCTTTTACTTGATTTTAAACATTTACAATTCTAAATGTCAAAACATGTCTTTTCTGAACATTTCGAGTTGAAATATTCATAAATATAATTTTGGCCGCCTAAATCAGCCAAATACCCTATGTGGGTCGGCTGAATCAGTAAAACGTGACAGTAGTTGACTTTTGAGGTTAATATATCGGTCTTGAGCTGGTACGGTTTTTAAAACATCCGCAGCTTCCTTTAAAGCATCGCTGCTAATTGCTGAGAGGACCAGATTATATTTCCCGACATAAGATGTGGTCTTGTACAACTGAAAGGTGGCCTCAATTTGTAGAAACCATTTGTCTGGCATCTCAGTTCAGAACGGTCGCAGCTTGCATTGCGATACAAGCTCCACATCTTTAGTTGGCATTTTGTTCGATGACTCGGGGTCACCCCTAATTTTTTGGGTTTGGAAGTTTGACTATAATTATAGGACATTGTGTTTAATAAACTAAATTACCATTTATTGCATAAGTACTACGTAATATATACTACTTTCGCGAATTTAGCTTATCATAATATACCGTTTGTAACTATTTATATGCAAAATTTGATATGAAAAAGAGTTCCCGTTTCTCTCGTGCTTCCATATTTCTACCTTTTGTAAGGGAGCCGTCGACATGAGCGGTCACTACGTACAACACCTCGTATAATTCCACCATGGGCGTAGTCTGCCTTTTGCTCTTAATTAAATGGTATGTAACTTTTTTGGTGCAAACCTATTTATATAACAGATGCTATAAGGTAGGGTTGCCCAAATCAGCACATATGTGTCGCGGGTGACTGCGCGTGTAAAGCTTTGCACAACGGTGCTGGGCAAGCGCGGAAGCAAAAAGTTACCGGAAGGGGAAAACGAAGTCAACGGAATAGTAAGATTGTATGTGTGACAGTGATGGAAAATGAGTTTGCATTGTGCCATTTTCGGCCCTTTCGGAAGCAGCCGGTACCTTCAGCACAGTTGATTGATTTCGGCACTATTTTTGCGTAACTCAATGCAACTGACAACTATTTCTTTCGGATCCACAATTAAAAATATTTTTTTTACATTTAATCGTATGTGCTTAAACAGATAAATGATATAAACATAGAAACGCAAGCAGAAGAATTTCGCTTCCACATTCTGCATATGCGCTTAACATTTTTGTTTAAACAAATTTGTCGAAATTTCATCTCCAAAGCAAATATTAAATATCATTTAATATATACTTTAGATTTGAATAATCATTTTTAGTGGTGGCCGAGTCCGAGATGTTTAAATGATCGAGATAGTACATTCAATTCGCGTGGATTTTTGAGAACTTTTTTCGTTGAAGGTGTTGCACTTTTTCTTCCATACTGAAATTTCTGTACATCCAATTTGTATAAAGAAAATGCAAAAAAATATTAAAAATCAACAGGAATTCTGAAGCTGCACTTTCACTTTATAATACTAAAATTGAATCGACTATAAAATTGCATACCATCAGTTGGTGTCGAACACTCATGCGGTGAGGATGTGAGGTGTGTCAATTACTTATATTTTTGCAGGATCGCCATAAGGTAAATTGCATTTCCAAAGATTTTTTAAAATAAATAGCGATGAGGGATATTTCACCCGCCGGCGAAATGGCAATCACCATAACGCACATCACTAATATTACTGTTCACAATCACGTTTGCATTCAAAATTACAATTCATAATTTCGTTTTGTAGCAAACATGAAATATAGGTATATCCATTTACTTAATTGTAAACGGATTAAGAATCAAAGTGCTAGAAGAGATTTGAGCGCTTGATACAAAAAGTATTTTTGATGTTGAAGTTGTACCTAAGATCGGCAAATTGTACTTTGTACTTTTTAAAATTAAATGTACTGAAAAAAGTACAATTGTACTTAAAATATCAACACTGTTTCACTGGCGCTGTACTTGCTGCAGCGATGCCAGATTTGAGCGTAACCAATTTTTTACCGATAATAACTCATGCGAGGGATTTGGGTATTGGGCATTTTACAAGCCTATTAGGAAGTATACATATCTGTGTTCGTATAGAATAGTAGCTTATGTCGGAAGACTGGCTATAGTATAATGAACCATTCGCAACATACTATTGCGAAAGACTCACTGGCGCCGAGTCGTTGAAGAACTCGTGGAAAATAAACGTAAAAGAGGCAGTTGCGATGCTAGCAAGATAATATTCGTATAAAGTCTCATAAAAAAATATATTCGTCTACAAATAATGTTGATTATATTAATTAAGTCCTAAGATAAGTTTGTGAATCTTATCAGTGTTCTATGTAAGAACAAAAAATCAATCCCTCGCCAATTAGAACTTTTGCTTTATAAGAAAAATATACATAGCGTTTTTACTTAATACTTGGTCTGGCATCACTGTTTGAGCATTGATGTGCTCAGCTCACTGTTGCCGAGGTCGTGCGTTTTGCAATAAATTTAGTGCTTTTGGGAAACCAAAAAGCCAAAAAAATTGGAATTCAATGCTTGGTGCGGTATTTAGTGATGCTTTTTTAATTTAAGCACACCGAATGTATAGGTACATATTTATGTATGTATGTATACACTAATATTCTGAATTAAGATGGAATAGGTAAATTAAATATGTTTTGCGTTGTTATAAATGTATTAAAATTAATTTATTAATAAAAGCGTGAGGAAATGGATATGTATATACACTTTATATTGAATCAAAAAAATTATTAAACATGATAATAAAAACTTGGCGCTTTTGTTTTGGAAAAATTGGCTTTTTCTGGTGGCCTGATGCCACACTAGCTCAGTTGTCGCAAAAGTACACATCCATACACGCACTTTTACTTGAAAATAAGTGTGTAGTGGTTAATATGTATACGATGCCATCTCCGTACAGCTNCTCGCCCAGCACACTTGCGGGCTCGCAGTTTGCCCGCGACGTCGACTGCGTGCACCTCTGCTGTACATCCCTACTATAAGGGATCAGAGTTCCGGAATTATAAAATCTATTATATTTTCAGACTTGCACCAAAATATTTCGGAAAAATATTAAGAGTTACGTGAGCTATACCGATTTGAATATACCTCCAAAAAGTGAGTTTTTTGTGCATAATAACAGTTTTTTAACGCATTGAGTGCCAAGCGGATTTGAGGAAAGCCTTCACCGGGTGCCAAGCAAATTTTTTGATATAATATTATGTGAAATTAGCATATATTGATTTCTAAGCCATTCCCGAAATATTTTGTGGTTTACTTTGGATTTTATAACGTTTTTATGTGTAGTACGTTTTTGTATGGCATGACACTGTACGACGGAAGTGGAATCGGTAAAATCGCTGTCTACGAAAATGTGCGACGCGATTTTTTTGCTATTTTATTATTTACTTTGTGTTCATTGGTTTTACTTTGATATATTTTTTTTGTTTACTTCGTTTTTATTTTTAATTTTGTTTATTTTAATTTTAATTTTGCAGATTTATTTGTAAAAGCAAAAAATGGCGAAACGAAACCTTAGGGAACGTGAAATACTTGAAGTCTTGGAAACAAGTGATGATGATTTTTCTTGCGATGGCTCGTTGGTTGATGAGGACAGGATGCCAGGTGATTGGGACACTGACTCGGCTCATAATATTGGTATTTACGATACTGACGACGATTGGGATATAGATGAGGACGAACCCGCAGCAACGAGCTTATCAAACGCAGTAGATTATTCTGCAACCAACGACATTTGGACTGCATTTTCTTCGCGCTAGAAGTCTTTCACATTCACTAGGCGATCAGGCTTGCAACAATGTATTTCAAAAGATGTTTCTTGTTTAGACGCATTTATCCTATTCGTTGACAACGAAGTTTTTGATTTAATTGTAACGGAAACTAATAAATAGGTGCAAGAATATTTTAATCAACACACTGTTACCAGATCTTCTCGAAAAAAAATAAATAAAATTGGGTGCCAACAACAAACTTTGAAATGAAGAAGTTCCTCGGCCTTCTGATGTGGATGGGTTTGGTAAGAGTCGGATCTATAAAAGACTATTGGTCCAAAGATTTGCTGTACAACTTTGCCATTTCGGGAAAAACAATGTCGCGAAATCGTTTTCAGTTATTGTTTAGTTTCATGCACTTCTCAGACAACAAATCAATTTTACCAGGCGATCGACTTGGTAAAATATAACCGCTATGGATATGCTCCAAATGCGATATCAAAGAGTTTACGTACCAGGTGAAAATATAGTAGCTGATGAGACCCTTATTCCATGGCGAGGTAGACTAAGTTTCCGACAATATATACCAAACAAGGCTCATCCTTAAGGTATAAAGCTTTTTAAACTCAGCTCTGCCGAAGGATTTACCTGGTCAGTAAAACTATATTCTGGCAAGTCATCAACTGGATTGAAGGAAGTCGGTTTGGCGAAAAACGTTTGCGAAGATCTAAGCGCTAAATTGAAAGGAGAAGGTCGAACGTTGCTTATAGACAACTTTTAAACTAGCTATGAATTGGCTCGTTCAATGCTAAAAAAAACATGTTGTCGGTACACTCCGTGCCAACAAGAAATATTTCCCAAAAGAAGTTATGGGTGTTCCTATAAAGAAAGGCGAAGTAGTGGCTAGACAAGTAGTGGCTAGACAAGATGCCAATGGTATAGTGGTGCTGCAGTGGAAAGACAAACGTGATGTCAGAATGCTTTCTACGAAGCACGCCACAGTCATGGTATCCACTTCGAACGAACATATTAATCCTAATGAGCTATCAACTAGTCGACGATCGAGATATGCAAGACGAGCCACAGAAAATCCGTTGGCTGTGGTTGAGTATAATAAGGGAAAATCGTTTAAAATGGTATAGAAAATTGGGAGTTGAACTCTTGGACTTTCCGTAGTAAATGCCTACATTGTTTATAAAGAAGCTACCAATAAAAATAAACATATCCGATCATTCCGTGAAAATGTTGCTAAGGGTCTACTAGATATGTCATCTCCGCAACCTATATCGCAATCCAAACATGTTATCACAAAAAGGGTGGATGATAATAATAAAACGGTTCGACGTGCTTGCGTTTTATGCTATGCAGTATCAAAAAAGGCATCAAATTGAAAAGAAGATAGAAATCATATTAAAAGGACAGCTACGTACTGTCCGCAATGTCCTAACACTCCTCATTTGTGCATTGATTGGTATCCGAAATATACGCACTATTAAAAATTAATATTTATTTATTTATTTACTTATTCGGTCTAAAAAGAACAAGCTTTTGTACAGACTAATTAAAGATAGAAAATAGTTCTAATTTAAATTTACTTAAGCTATTATTAAAATTAAGAACGCTACTATACCGATTTGCCAGTTGTATAGCTCTGGCCGCTGGTTCGTTCAGTGCATAATTAGTTCTATGTGTTACCTCAATAAGTAACCTGTTATGCCGCAGTTCCCGCGGTGGAAAATAAAAAGCAAATAGATTTGATAGATCCGAGCAATTGATATTGGAATTAATTATGTTATAGACAAACAAAAGGGAAATACATGTTCTTCTATCGCATAAAGCTTGGAGGCCGAGTAATTTACGCCTACTTTCATATGATGGGAGACCATCCGGCCAATGAAGCACACGAAGAGCGATTTTACTAAAAATTTTTTGAACTCTCTCAATTTTATATGAATTCACCTCATAAAATGGATTCCATATTAATGAGCAATATTCCAGGCGACTTCTCACCAAAGAAGTAAAAAGTGCTTTAAGCGTCATTGGATCTTTAAAGTCTCCAGAATTACGCCTTATAAAGCCGATTAATGCAAATGACTTCGAAACAATAAAGTCAATGTGATAAGAGAACGAAAGTTTCGAGTCAAAAATTACACCCAAGTCTTTGAACTCATATGCACGACTTAAAGATTCAGCATTTAAATTATAGTTAAAAAACGTAGTAGCTGTCTTTTTCGAATAAGAAACAACGCAACATTTTTTCGTATTTAAAAACAGATTATTGACAGTACACCATCCAGCAAAAGAATCAAGGTCTGATTGTAAATTGATACAGTCAGAAGTATCACGGACTGTTAAAAATAGTTTTACGTCGTCTGCAAACATTAGGCATTTGGCAAAGTTGAAATAAAGCGGCAAATCATTGATAAATACAAGGAATAATAAGGGACCGCAATGTGTTCCTTGTGGAATTCCTGACCAAGCATCGATAAAAAGTGATGACTTAACATCTCCAATTGACACAAAGAGCTTCCTATTCGATAGGAAGGAAGAAAAAAAGTTTAGCAGATTTCCATTAATTCCGTACATCTCCAACTTACGCAAAAGAATTGAGTGATCGACTTTGTCAAATGCTTTCGAGAAGTCTGTGTAAATGACGTCTAGCTGCGCATGTGTCTCAAAGGCATGGACAATATTATTGGTCACCAAAGCTAAGTTAGTAGACGTGGACCTCCCAGGAAAAAAACCATGCTGGCACTCAACAATAGCCTTACCTAAGTGATCGAACAGTTTTCGTTGAATAATGTCATCGAAAAGCTTTGCTACAGTTCCCTGTTTAACTATTGGTCTATAGTTGTTAACATCAATGCGGTCACCAGATTTATATATGGGGTTGATTGAGCACAGTTTCCATGGATCTAAGAAAGTTCCACAGTTCACACATTCTTGAAAGAGAATTGACAACGGTTCTGACACAGCATTCGAGCATATTTTGAAAAACATCGGACAAAGCCCCTCTATATCAGTTTTTGTACTGTTTGTCAACTTTGAGATCGACATAAGGACATCATCGCCGGTAATAGCGAAGCATGAAATTGGTGGCATAGATGCGTAATGAAATGCGGAGCTTTGTGAAGAAGCAAACTTCGTGTACACCTTTTGAAATAGTTTAGCAAACAGGTTACAGGAGCCCTGTGTGCTATTAGACACTTCACCATCATATTCCATACTCGCTGGAAAGCCAGTAGTGTTTCTTTTGGAATTTATTACAGACCAGAAGCTAGATGGGTTTGATTTCAATTTAGACTCGAGTTTGAGCATATAATGCCTGTAAAGGAATTTATTGAGATAATCAAATTTTTTCTTAAGTCTGATATAAGTAATTCGATCTGCTTCCTCATTGCTCTTTTGATATTTTTTGAAGGCTTTATTTTTGGTATTCTTGAGATTACTCAGTTTCGCATTAAACCACGGTGGTCTAGTGGTCGGAGCCAAACGTTTTAGGGGTACGAAGCTCGAAATTACTTGTGAAAATTTCTGACGTAAGGCTGCGTAAGAAGCATCTGGGCCACCAATAGAGTTCAGGAATGCCCAGTCAGTAGATAAAAGAAGGTCATTCATGGCTATATTGTCAGCCTTGAGATAATTATATTCAACGGAACATTCAGCGGGCTTTTTATTGAAATTATAATATTCAAAGTTAACAGTTAGAGCATTGTGATGAAAGCAATTTTGCAAAATTGGATACATACATTCCAAGCACGATAATCTGAGGTCGGCAGATCCGAAAACAAGGTCGAGGAATCTGCCATTACTATTAGAATTAAGGTTACTTTGTTTAAGACCATGCGAGAACAGGGTGCTTACAACCAACATATCAATATCGGTTTTAAGATTAATTGGCAGAGCATTACAATTATTTAACCAAGAGATATTACTTAGGTAAAAATCTCCTAAGTAAATTATCTCATCAGATATATTATCATTATTAATGATCGATGACAAATTATCCATATGTTTTTGATAGGTGGTGATGTCACTGCTTGGCGGAATATAGGATAACAGAAAAATTATTGTTTTATTATCAGCGAACTTTACGCTTACACAAATTTTTTCTATATCACCATTATAATAGTTAATAGCAATGAGTTTACTACATAAATCTGCCCTAACAGCAAGGAGTACACCACCCCCCCTCTCGAGATCAGTCGCGTTCGGGCAACGATCAATACGAAATACATGGTAATAACTATCAAAAAACTCACTTGATGAAAAATTTTCGTTCAGCCAAGTTTCAGTTAAAGCTATAATATCATACTCATGCGAAATAATATTACAATAAAATTGAGATGACTTAGTGCGCATGCCACTGACATTTTGGTAATATAAAGTATACATCGATTTAGGCAAATTAGAGAGGTTACAAATACGTAAATCCCCGGTCGGAGATAAATATATATCGCTTGAGTCAGCTGCGGTTGTTGCTATAGAATTCGGAGATAAATTTATATCGCTTGAGTCAGCTACGGTTGTTGCTGTAGGATTCCTGGACGTTGCTGGACGTTGAAAAAATGTAATAATTTCACTTGAATACTAAAACAAAGACTTAACAATGAAGTTTTAATAGCTTTTGTACTTTAATTTAAATTATCATTTATTATAAGTATTACTTATTTTTGTATCTTTTACATTGTTTTTTCCCAAATACCGAATGAATTTCAATAAATTATCATTTTTTGGAAACCTCAGAATTGGCACCTCAGAATTTTTATCATAAAAGCTCAAATCAACATAGCGCTATGGAAGCTGGACCAAATATTAGAGCAAAGATCAGCCTACTAAGAAAAGATAAAAAATCATTGTAGTGTCACACAAAAAAGCAAAAGTACGCTTTCGTACGACGTGGCACCCTAAGAAGTATTAGGTGTCAATGTGNCGACAATGTCTAATGCGAAACAACCCCCGTCGTACGCTTTCGTACGACGTGGCACCCTAAGAAGTATTAGGTGTCAATGTGTTAAGTATTTTTTGCAAAAGATCGCCTCAGATGATAAAAGAGTTCAACCTTAAAAAATTTGCACAAATATTATTTAAAAAAAATTACAACGGAATCATAATAATGTGATTTTTAATGCTGTTTTTGACCTTTTTTCGAAGACTGGTTTAAGAAAAACTTGAATAACTTAGCCTAAGCTTTACCGATTGAGAGTTTTGAGGTATCATTGGAAAGGAATTTGTCACAATTTTTATTTCTTACGCCCATTCAAAGCATGAAAGAAGAAGGTAAAACAAACGAGCCTAATTCCATGTTAAATTAAGATGTTTTGGTATTTGATAAAAAAAAAATTGGGACGTGAATGAGTTTTTGTGCAAAGAAATAGGGTGAGAAAATACCTTTCCACTGATACCTTACAAGTCTATATCGCTATGGTTTTGGCCCAGTTATTCAAGTTTTTCTTAAACAAATCTTTGAAAGAAGTTAAAGAATCAGTATCAAAAATCTCATTATAATGATTCCGTTGAACAAATTTTGAATATTTTTATATAGATATTTAAAGCTTAAACTGTTATTCATCTGAGGGGATTTTTGATAAAAATCCTTTTAGAAACAACTTTTATTCATAAAAAACTCCATTTTTGGACGTATTTTCAAATCGGTAAAGCTCACGTAAATTTAACATTTTTCCGAAATATTTTGGTGTACGTCTTAAAATATAAAAACTTTCCTAATCCCGGCGGAAAACCGCAACTTGTTTTTGGTGATCCAGTCTAATGTACATATCTATGACTACTTACATTTTTTGAATTTACACCTCAACTCCATACGCGCTAAAAACAGGAAAAAGTCATCTCCCAACAAGGGGAAGTCCAACAGATGAGCTTCATAGTCCGAATCGGATGTATACACGGAATCGTTATATCTACTGCTTTTGGTGTACGCTGGTGAGGAAGGTCTGCTGGCATTTGTACAAATGGGGGGCACCATTGGTTGTTTAAAAATATTAAGTTGCTTTTCCTGATTGTTAACGTTTACGTTGTTCGGTGGTTCTGTTCTAAATTGCGTTGTTTGGGCAATGGTTTTCATTTGAATGGAATGAAACCTGCTGAGCCGATTGTTGGCCTGGTAATTGTTTTTGTAGTTGAACGCAGAATTTTGTCGCACCAGTTTTGGTTGGCTATAGAGTCGGTTGAACCTGGAAGAGTAAAATAAATAACATGAAGTATTCGGTAGAGTGTATGCCTGTATACATAACTGGAATGTTTCAGTAAAATAAAGCCAGAAAAAATACTACTCACGGGCTTTATTTCCTTTTTTATGAAATAAATCAAGCGGGCGTTATTTCCTTTTCTTAGAGAAATAAAGCCCGCGGGCTTTATTGCCTGTTATTGGTGGGCGCTATTTCCCCTTCCCTATTGCACTCCACCGAAATAATCTTTGTTAGATGTAAATGTGTATATGTGTATGTATTACCCTACGAGAACAGCTCTACAAGCATTTCTGTGCTTTCAAAACCAATTTAAAGTAAGATTACTCAAATCAGACAAAACTAAACGTTGTAATTGGGAATCAATCGCACAAGCTTGCGGGATCGAGGTCATCAATCCCGCAGATCCGCCGGATTTCCGGGACTTAAAAAAATTAAATTTATTTCCTCTAACCAATTATATTCAAAATTGATTTGTAAAAAAGACGATTTGATTTCGAAAATCTTCGTATTTACTTTTAATTAGGTTGACTTTTTTGATAATATTTCCGAAGGAATAATAAAGTCTTTAAAGTTTCATCTTATAAATTCGACCTTAGTTTATTGCACAGTCAGGAACTTTTGAGTTTGGTGATTACGCATAGTTTCGTAGGTATAGGGTAAAAATCGCTACATCTATTGCTATTTTTCAGAAGAACATATATCATAATAAGAGATCTGAAATAACACATTCTCGCAGTAATCCGAAAGCTAGCTAAAACATCAGTGATGCTGGATTATTCAAATTTAACAAAGTTTTCCTGTTATTCCGCGTAACTTTTTTACCGTTTGATATTTGAAAATGGCGTTAAAGTAATATATTCTATATGACATACTCTCGAAAAGTACATCAGAGCTGAATGTATGCCTCTGATAGAACCAGTGTTATGAGTATTCAAAATTTATCATCTGAAAGGAAGCTCAAGAAAGAAAATAAATTTTTACGCTGGCACACTTATTTATCGATAGAAACGGTTAGTGTACAAAGTTTAAGCTAGTTAGGGAGGCGAACGTTTTCAAATTTTAATCAATTACGGAGGACCATAAAATAAATCGATGAAAGGTTAATAAAACCAGACCAGGTGTTTTATATATTTTTGGGGTTGCTGAACACGAACCTAAAGTCCGTTTTGACCCATCATGTAAGGATTTGCTTCTAACCACAAAACACATTGCAAAACTAAATGAACTCCTCCGAAAGGGGTTTCTGAAGTACATCCTATAAAAGCGCTTCTGGAAGGCCTTCTATGGGTAGCGAAAGAAGAAGCCCTTTAATTGATGACAGTCCATACAAAAAAGAAAGGAGAAAGGAATGTTGAGTGGAAGGCCTCTTGACTCTCAGGAAGGCCTTTCGGAAGGGCTTCTAACTCCTGAAATTATCTACTGGGTTATATAGTAATAATATAATAATAATAATAGATTGGCGCTTACACATATGTTAGTGTTTGGCCGAGCTTCTCCTCCGATTTGTGGTGTGCGCCTTGATGTTGTCACACAAAGCGGAGGGACCTACAGTTTTACGCCGACTCCGAACGGCGATTGTATTTTTAGTGAGAAGCTGTTTTTCATGGAAGAAATACACTCGGAGGACTGGAACTTTTTTTTTTCTATATTTTTGCGATGTTGCTTTGACCAGGGTTTGAACCCAGGTGCTGCGGAGTGTAAGCGCACACTGCTTAGCACTACACCACAGCGGCCGACAATATATATAATGATGTATATTTAATACAGCCATGCACGACGAACATTTTGGCGTGCACGTTCACAACTCGCATTCGTCTAATTAATTTTTTTTTGTAGTCCCGCAAGTCCCGCATGTGTAATCCCTCATTTCAGATCCCGCAAACTAAAGTTTGAAAAAAATTTTTGGGAAGTTAAAGGTTTAGCCGAGTTTCGCCTCCAATTTGTGGTGTGCGTATTGATGTTGTAACACAAATTTCACTCCGCCTCCGAACGGCATATGATTTTTATGAGGAGCTCTTTCATGGGAGGAATACAGTCTTTTTTTGTTTTCTGTTAAAACACAGGAACAACGATGTTCGTTTTCTCTTAAACGAAAGCCAATAAGTCCCGAGGTATTAGCAGGACTAAAGGTTATTACAGCGCATTGCGCGATCTCTAACACTCTAGGGCGAAGATGGAATTAAAAAATTTCAAAATGTGCCTAATGATCTTCAAAAGTAGTGCCGAAAAGAAGACGAAAGTGCCACAAAATTAAGTTTCTTTTAAGGTGTTTTAAGAACAATATACTTTTAAAAATAATATTTTTAAAATACACTGAAGTAATATAATAATTATTAATTAACTACATTATTACAGTAAATCCCTTTTATGAAAGATTCCTTAACCATATACATAAATTCAAAGCAAAATTACACAGAATTCCAATTAAGGAGGGGAAGTACATCGAAATATAGCTATTCCGACATTTTTTCACACATATGTATGTTCCTATATGCGAAATAATGGCAGTGAGATATTTTGACCTATTATTTTCATTGATTACTTTTTGATTGATCTTATATAAAAGTGTAATTCATACCCCCTTATTATAGAACCCGAGTTTTCGTAATACAGTAAAGCCCGTTTAAGTACCTCTCAAAAAATGTCAGCTTTTTGAGGTACTTAGGCGGGTTGGGTACTTAAAAGAACCCGCTTAAGTACCTCGATGTGGGTACTTTAGCGAACATATATATTGATATAGTTACATCTTTTTGTTAACTTACATAGATATGTAAATCCTTGAATAAAACATGAACATTTAATGAAGTAGTAGTGAAGTTTAAAAGCAAGACCATAGCATTATTTAAGATTTTTCAATTAAAATACAGTTCATTCCCTAATAAATAACATATAAACTTAAGCTTCAAATTCAATAGAACACTTAAAGAAAAAAATTCACCAAAATTTAAAATGGTTTTTCTCAGAAGTGTTTTTTGAGTATACATTCAATTTTAGTGTAATAATGTGCAAGTTTCAAGTTGCTAAAAATTACCGTTGATTTTTTATTCAACAATTTTTATTGAGCTCGAGGCCGTTTTTATATAAAAACTATTGTGGACAGGCAACAATAATTTATATTTTTTGAAAAATGGTAGAAGTGATAGCTATTTCGCTTGGTTTTTTATAATTCTTTTTGCCGAGGATGTATAACGCTGCCACTGAATTTCAAAATATGTAAATATTTTAAGGAATTTTAAAAGAGCACTTAAAAGGGGAGAATTATAGGAGAAATGGTAATTACATTCAAAAATTCACATTGTCCAAAAATGTTGGTTACTTAAGCGGTTTAGGTACTTAAGCGCGGGGGTACTTAAGCGGGTTTCACTGTACGTTATTCGTAGCTACGATAAATCGAAAACGAAAAATCTACATGCTGCAACCAGTGTTGCCGTGACGTCACGAAAAAATGTATCGTAGAAGAAACAAGAAATGGATCAAATGTATCACAAATTTTTTATTTAAGTATCAAGTTAGAAAAGACTAAAAATACTATTTGGTTTCATACCTTTGCTTTTTATTATTGTCAATAACCGTAATTCACATTCATACACATATATACATATGTATGTACATGAAAAAAAATATTTTACATATTGTCTATCAAAAAAGAGATTAGTGTTTTTAATCTTGTATAGAGACGAACAAAAATATTATGTATAGATTTTATAGAAATTTGAATTCAAATATATGTACACACTTCAAACTATTAGCTGTCGATCACTTACGTTATTTATCAAATTATGTGATATATTCCACGTTAAAAGCGTTGGAAATTATGTCGAAAAGCTGAGACTACCTTCAGTGTCGACTTTATATTTACTGTGAATACGCCACATCATATTCTCAACAGTTTGTAATTAAATTCTATTTCTCTTTTCATATTGGATCAATCTTAAATCTGAAAATATACGCTCTGCAGCTGCAGAGCTATTTATAAGGCAAATAAAGAAAATTAAAAATTAATGAAGTCGACTCTTTACACATAGTTCATTTGAAGCATTTTTCTTTAAGCTTATTTGATCCCAAAACGTTTAAATATTTTCGATCAAATTTTTAAAGCTGCCACTGCATATCAGGGATGAAAACGTAGGTACAATTGTACCTTATTCCGACGTTTGATGACTTAAAGGTACATTAGGTACAATTGCTAGATTTTAGGTACAATCATCTTTTGATCCGCGGTAATATACATATGTATTTACCTTAAAAAATTTACACTGCATTTAGAATAGCCAGTACGAAAACTAATACTTTACTTAGCTATCCTCAAATTCGTAATTCTTGTTATATTTTTTTAAACGTCACTGCGCCCTAGACCGACCTACTCCCATATTGAATGATGGTGTGAAATCTACAAACGCTCTAGCTTTGGAATTGGTGGAATGCATTTTTTAATATATTGAAACCATAAAAGCCAAAGTTCCCCGCATATGATAACACTTTTAAATTATCTATTAATTTTTTTCGCCCATACAGTCCTGTGTCTGGGATTTCCTCAAATTTCATACTTTCTGTACTTTAGACAATAGCCTTTTTTTTTCTTTTTGATTTCTGGAAACATATTTAAAATGCTTTCGACGTTACTTACGGCAATTCCGATTATTTTCTATAGACTTGCTGCACCTATTAAAGGGCAGGATAAAAAATTAAAGCTTTGCAAAGACCGTTTTTTGTCTTTTTCGCCAATATTTGCCCACTAGACTATAATCTGTAGATATAAGATCAGTTTGCAAAAAATAAATAAAGTTTAAAGTACTTCCATCTTTTGTATTCATATTTTAAATAAAATGAGTAAAAAAACTACTAGGTAGAATCTGTCTATTTTATGATATTAAAATCAGAAATTTCCATTTTTCATCCCTGCCATGTCATGTATTAAAATTTGTACTACGCGATAAATTTAAGTATGTCGCGAAATGAGCGAAAAAATAAAGAAGCACGTATCA